TTGATCATAAGAAAATTTGTTTACTTAATCCTTTTTTTAATTTTAAAACGATAAGGTAAATATGTTATTTCCCGCAAATTAGACCTATGTATATATAGTAAAAGTGACTTACCCAGTCCTGTTAATAAATCAATTTTGGTACTTAACTTTGGGACACAAAATAAATAATAAGTATTATATGATATTAATTTACTGCAATCACTATCGAAAATAATTTATTACCATTAGAATAGAAAACAATAAAGAGAATAGCGACTTTATTGTTATTTTTCTTTTGTACTAAATTTTTTGTTTTTATTTGACGCTTTCTACTGAGATGTATAGCGAATTCTACCACAATACATAAAATAAGCAACCGAACTTTATATTCGACATCAAGAATGTTTCAAATCATCGTCTATAAAAAATACGACCCAATAAGAACTACAAACTGTGATTAGAATGACCCGATCGGAACACAATCTGCAGGTAAAAAAGTGTCCAAAGAAATATGTAAATTTGTATACGCAAATGTACCTACAATATTGTGTTCTGAAACAAACAAATCGTTTAGCTTTCAGTAATCTAAATGTATTACTTAAAATTAACATACTGACAAAACGAGGTAAATGGTCAAATAAGTACATATTTTCATAAAAGAGAATGGAAATAAAAACGGCTATAATAATACATAAAATTAAAGATAGCGATTAAAAACAACAATTGTTTGAACTAACCATAAATTTAAATTATTGTATATTTAAATAATTTTAAATATCAGAATGAAATAGCTACATATATCAGGTATACCACGGGTTTTTTTTTTCACTTTTAACTTTGCTGCAAAGGTTCTTCACATTTGAATTTAAATTTTTACAGTTCAATAGCATTTGTTTTTTCGTTTAGTTTAATACAATAAACTGAATTATACTTTTCTTTCATACGCGAAACGGAGATCAACGGGCGTTGAAGAACAGAGACATCGCCTCGTAGGATTTTATTAATAGAATTATATTTTTTGTCTAGCAATGCAAGGCATTTACATTTGTCATCTACTAAATAAAAATAGTAACAAAAAAGAAGGTACACTTATATAATGATGATAATAATAATTCGATAAAATTGAAATAAAACTTAGCATATTATAATTGAAATTACACAGTTAACAGTTACGCGGAACCCATTCTGTGCAACGTTCTCTTTACAATTTTTTTGATGTTCTTGATATAAAATATAAAAAATGCATTTACGCAAACTTCATTTTTTAGAAATGTTCAATGAAAAGCCTACATTACCAATATTCATAATTATTAGAAATTGAATACCTGATTAACAATTTTTTTATCACTATCCGGCTCATTATATAATTAGTTTAATACCAATATTATCGCCCAAAATAAATCCCTGTAATTCTACAGAGACATTTATTTAACCAACAGATAATAAATGTTTTCTTTTAATATATTTACCATACAGGTAAGATTAAACAGAAACAATCACCATATTAATTTAAAAACTTTGCAATAAAAAGGTATTATTAATACTTTCATGTATAACACTGAAATGACTATATAACTAATTGGAATTTCTTGGAATTTAATGTGAGCTTTGTACATTTCTGTAGGTGTATGCTACTTGCATTTTAAATAATAAAAACAAAAATTTGATAAAAACAACAAAGCGCACTACGATCATTTTATCACGTTTACTTTCATTACAAAACCTATTTCAAAAAATAGTCACTCGTATGTTATATCATTAACGCTATTTTAGTACCAAAAAAATATTACATTCGTTGCAAATAGGAAATAAAACACATGTGCAGATAACAAATCATTTTATTTATCGTTTAATATTTCGATAAAAACGATTTGCAATGAAATATCAATTTTTAAAAATTGCTGATTACTGAACTAAATAGTAATAATAGTTATTTATTATTAGGTATTTAATATAGACATAAAATGCTTTCTTACAATTGATTTCATAAATAACTGTAGCATTATAGGATTAATAGTCGATTTATTATGTTAAAAAGGAAACAAAACTTTTATTATGAAGGTACTTATATAATAATTATAACTTAAAACAGAAATAGTACAACACTGAAATTTAACTCAACCAAAGAGCCTGTAAAAGTAATGGTTTTATTAAATAAGTTACAACTTTTATAATTGAAAAGACATAATACATTTTCGTACAGATAACAAAAAATATTTACATAAATAACTTTTCTATTTACATTTTGGAATGTCCTTTCTTTCTGCTCATGTGCACGCCACATTCATTTAAATTTATTATATACATTACTTATAAAAACAACACTCAACCTGGCACCACAAATAATTATTCTTGTCGCTTTTAATTAACACTAACAATCACATTATTGAACATAAACCCGTCAGTTCCGTACCTTTTTTAACCGTTGGTAGTTTCTTCAGGTACACTCCTTGTAACGCCGGTTTAACGTTTAATTGTACCGGTTCTTCTCCGGGTGGTAATGGCTGACTCGGATCGATACATATTTCATGGCCGCTGAGAATACACTCGGTATTGACGTCGAGAACAGACTCTTTAGTTTCTTTAATTAGGGCTGTAGTCACTATGGGTTTACTGATATTGATTTTTATTTTTCCGGCTATAGACGTATTCGTTGTTGGAATGGTTGTAGTGTTGTATTCAACGTTTCCATCAATTGAAGGTTTAAATTCAATATTGCCTTGGGAACTGCACGGCCTTTCTTCTTCCAGCTCGTCCTCTACCACTAATTCATCTAATAAGAGTTTTAAATAAAATAAATTAAATATAATAATACAGAAATATAAATAAAAAAGTATTTATATGTATGTAGTTATAAGGGATTTACCAGGATCAATTGGTTCTGATTTAATCTTCACTGTCCCAGCAGACTTTATTTGCAAGATTCCATTCTCCACATCAACAAATCCATCATCAATAATTTCCTCTTTCACGACAATAGGTTTTTTCTCTGCTGATATTTCTTCAAGAGGTAGTTCTTCGTCATCATCGTCATCCACGACAATTTTTTCAGGTATAACCTCATGTATAATAACATCATCATCATCATCCTCCTCTTCAGCATTCTCTTCCTGTTTCTCTACATCTTCTTCTTTTAATTCGGAAGGTTCTTCTTTTGTTTGTTCTTTTTCATAATCAGCAGAACCAGTATCTTCTATCACCTCTAACTCGTCATCATCAAGAACGACAGGTTCCTCTGAGACTTCAAGGCCGGGAATATTATCTTTACTTTCTTCTTCGTCTGTATGACTGATGCTTAACTTGCTGTCTTCCAAAAGTGTTTGATCCACCAGAGAAGCCTGAATAAAAGAAAGAATCGAATTAATATTCCATTTGAATAAGTCCATTTTTTTTTCTTACCAAATAGTCTTCATGACATAGAGGATGGTATGTCTTTCCGTCCACCCTAATGGCCATCCGTAAGTGCCATTCTTCTTTTTCTTCGTTGTAAAACTGTTCAAATCTCTCTTTGCAAACTTCACAGCATGCATCCTGAACGTCTTTATCAGCCGGCACACTAGGTATCTCTATTTCTTCCTCCTCTTCATTGGGATTGCCTTCGACGTGACTTTGGTTTTCAAAATAACTTTTTTCTGTAATGAAAGAAAATAATTGCATACAAATCATAAAAAAAATAACGAAACAAATAAATATACCTCTTTCCTCGATGTCTTCAATTTCTTCGAAATTCTTCCAATCAGTTAATGAATAATACCACTTCCTACTTGCTGCTTTACGAATATTTTTCTTTCCCTTTCGATTTTGACGGAAATGCCAGTCGAGATGTTGACTATAGTGCATACTAAGTTCCGGTGGAAAACGCATGCCACAGCTACTGCATTGCATTCCCACATATAGGGCTTGTATCAAAGACGGCTGTCTCCTAAAAATAAAATAAATAAAAAGGTTATATTACATTTGAAAGACTAGTAAATTGTATTAACTAACAACTTACATTTTCAGAGTTTCTGGTTTATCAAAATAAACGGGCTTAGAATCTTCAAGGAATTTTTGAATTTTATTACTAGTTTGCAGTTTAGCTGGAGTTACTGGTGCTTTACTAGCAGAAGTGGTAACAGCATCGGTTGATTTTATAGTAGACAACGAAGAAGATATTGTTGTAACTATACCAGTGGCGACCAGTTTTTGGAAAAGTTCGTTAATATTAAGAGTAGGGGGCAAAATTGGTTTTGGAGTTTCTTCAGTAGACGTTAAGTGTGTTGTATTATCCGAAATTGTTTGATGATCGTTATCTTCGATTTGATAACTACTGGCATTTGCCGACGAAGACATTGACGTTGTCATAACGTTTGAAAGAAGATCAAGATTATCTATAAAAAAAATTAACTGCATGATAAATATCCGTAAAATTAATTTTCAATAACTTACTGAAACTTTGTTGACTAATAAAGTTCTGGAATATTTGAGGATCGTTTGAATTTCTATCTGCGTCATCTTCGACACCCAGTGGCAGACTTTTGGGTTCAGATGCAGGTATAACAGCTTCGGCAATTTTAGATTGTTCAGTTGAAAGGCTATCTTGACTATTTTCATTTTCAGGTTTTGGACTAGAATCGTATATGCCAATATTTTCCATATCCTTGATAACAACGTTTCCTGGCTTAATTCCTTTAGGTAAAACAGAAAATCTTATAAAACGTTTCGTGCCTGATAAAATAACTGCTTTTGGTAAGCCTCCAAACGTTATCGGGTATACTATGTCGTCTATTATCACTTTTTTAAGCGAGTTAATAAACTTAAGCTTATGAAGTTTACCATTAACTTCAAAGTGTTGCACTTTACAATCAAGATAGACGGGTATTATAATTTTTGCATCAACAATTAAGTTAATCCTTCCCGCTACTAAATCAGTTCGCTTTGTGGTTCCTATTTTTACTTGTGGTGGAGGGCCATCCAACTTTAAATGAGCCATTTTCCCATCTAAATCAATCGATATACCAGGTGAACCAAAATAGCATTCGTAACCTTTACCGTCGATAAATATTTCCTTAGTTGGACCACCAAATCGGATCTTATGCGGACTTCCACCAATGAGTACTTCACGATAATTATCTCCGAAAGACAGTACAAACGTGTCTTTATCATCGAACGTTACTCCTCTATTGCCAACTTGGAAAGAAATTTCTCTAGGATCATCCCAACTCATAAAAATCACAGCCGTTTCATCATAAAATCTAATCACTCTTGGAACACCGTCAATATTAATAGTTTTTACACCGTCCTGAATTGACTCACTAAATACAATGTCACCAGGTGTTTCTTCCCCAGTAGGATAAGCGTTTGGAGAACCCTGAGATTGTTCTGAACCATCATGACCTAAATTTTCCCCATATGGATGGGATCTTAAATATCCTGAATTCATTGGCCTCCAAGGCCCAGGATGCATTGTTGGATTAGATGAACGTATCCAAGGATCTTGCCTACCTCGAAACGGTGGTCTAAATGGACCAACTATGCCACCAGGATAATTTTCCCATGTGCCTCGAATTCGCCTTCCTCTCCAAGCTGGTCGTCTGATCTCTCGAGGATCAATACTCATGGGTTGTTTAGAGAAATTTTCATCACTCTGATTGAACGCTGGAGTCACTCGGTCATCTTTATCACCATAATCTACGGATTTAGCATGTCCACTATTAACATCTTCAATATCGGATCCACTAAATTCGCCATCAACATCCAATTCATCGTCGCTAATTGGCTGTAAAACAGTGCTTGCTTCAGACTCTTTTCTTTTGGCTTCCCGTAGTTTTTGTGTTTCTATTTGTGCAATTATTTTATTCATTAAAGCAGTTTCTTGAGCTTTCGTCATGTTTCCCGTCTTGATGCATTGTTCATCTGCTGGGGATATGAAAATTCTGTCCACTTTTTCTAAAGAAGTGAACTTTCGCATGTCGGTGTCCTCGTAGGCTTTGGAATCATCTTTTTCAACTAAAAAGAACATGTTGTAAGCACATTTAAGTGAAAATAAATATTTATAACTGTATACCTGAAGAAAATTGCATTTTTTCAAATTTGTCCCTATGCGTGGCACTTGCAAGTTTAGCTCTAAGTAAGTCCAAATGAGTTTTCTTTGGAGATTCCTTGTCCCTACTCAAAACTAATTGCGGACTTGATTCCTTTACTTCCGAAATTATTGGAGGTGGAGGCGTCTTAGGTCTTTCTACAATCTTAGGCGATACTGGAGGAAGCTGTCGTAAATCAGTGTCTTCACTGCCAAATAATCTAACAACAAGAAGCAAATTAATTTCCCTTTTTAATATTAATAATCTTTATTTTAAGTTAATGTACAGAGCTTGGCGTCTATAATCTCTAAAAACTGTATAAGAAACAAATTAATTATAATAAATCCAACCGAGCTCAATTCGTACGGACATACAATATGAAGAGACACAACCACTGTCTTTATTTAGTGTATTAAAAATTATTCGCATCTTCAAATACACTTTCTTGTTTTATAAATCCACCAAGTAACTGGCTTAAACAATTTATCTTTCTATATGGTTTTCTACGAAATTGATGACACTAGAATTCATTAAGTACTGTTGTATTTGTTTATTTTTTAGCAGGGTAGTTTTCTTTTCCTCTTGCAGCCACCCTTTATTACTATGCAATCACATTATCACATTTTTTTACCACTTTTAATAATTTGTTAATACACTATATCTACCTACCTTTAGACGCATTTGACCACTTTACATTAAAAATTATTAGTTATTATAAACACCTCACCCTGTATATTTTTACTAGGGAACACTGTATTTAAAATTAACATTCATATAGAAACCGTAAATGACTTACAAAAGAGATAACATACAGTGCATAAATAAAAATAATTGCACAGTATCATTTTTATTATTGATACATACACATCAAATAGTTCTGTTTTGGCTTTCTTTAACGACGGAGAATCGGCTGTTTCGGTTGATGGGCGTTTTTTGCCAATCATTCCTGGCAACTGCCTGAGATCTACGTCCATACCTGGATTATCTAAATTATCACCTAGAAAATAATCTTTATAAATACTTCTACAAAATAAATAAACACAAATAATTTTCAAAGCATTTTTCCCAGTAGTGACCAAGTGGCACAGAAAAGCATTACAAAGACTATTCAACGTACAAACACCCTTCTTCTTTTTTACAAATTAAAACTTACCTGACATTCTGTTTTAAAAGTTAGCAGAATGAACTAGTTTTTTATTATGTTTATTAAAATAAAAAAGGAACATTTTTTTAAGCAATTCGTGTGCAAGAAATTATTTTACCCTGAATGATTTAATTGCAACTGTGCCAGAGTCAAACTATTAACGTGTAAAAAACTAATAAAAATGCATACTGACAACTTATTTGAAAAATCACTTTCCTAAATGTTATCGAAAACGACATTCAATGGACTGTTAATTTTGCAAATAACGGTCCGAAAATGAAATTTGGTAAAATATTCTTACTTTTGCAGTCCGATGTATCTCCTTGTAAACGAAGATGTTTCTCAGGTGGACCGGAAACCCGAAGATCTACGTCGTGCGGTGGCTCAGGACTAATTGAAGCTTCTCGATTACGTCGCATATAATTACGATTTTTCGCCGAAGGCTTAAGTTCCTTGATAATACTCGAGGAATCACTTTTGAAAGTTTTCATTACCTTATCACTTTTACATATAGCAGTGGGCAGTTTATCACTCTTTTTATCATTACAAACAATTTCAGTACATTCAGAGGCAACATATCCAAGTTCAGGATTCTTATTGCGAGGGCTAGAATCGTCCCTTTTTTGACCTAACTTTTCTTTATCTGCCGTAACAAGAAAACTCTTTTTTTTTGCTTTAAGAGGTGACTTACTCGGAGATCGATTTTTTGAATAAAAACCGTTTTTACTTTTACTAGGAGAATCGATAGAACTAGAACTACCAGAAAAGTCAGATGCAGAACTAGTAGAAGATTTAGAGCCGTGGGAAAATTTAGAGGTTGTTTTCTTGGACGTTGCACTCGTCTTAGGGCTGGGTTTAATGGGAGAGGAAGAGCGGGTTGGTAGTGTTTTACTTTTTCCCTGACCAAAGGATTTATTTTTACTAACTGAACGAGGTTCGGTACGATTGTCTCGAACACTCATCTTATTTGTAACAACTTTATTTTCTGATTGAATTATTTGTGGTGAAGTAGTTTTTGACTTAGATTCTAAATGAACATTAGAATTTACATTTTCGGTTGCCGACACTTGCTGACGGTCCCCTTCCTGCTGCTTTTCCTGAAGGCGCAATAATCGAGGGTCTCGTGTTGGTCGTTGTGCGTTTACCAAAGCGCTATTAACAGGCGCTACATGTGGTGTTGTAGTCTGATCTGATGCGGTTTGCTGTTGCTGCAGTAACTTACTTTTCATAGCTGACAAACTCTGAAAAACATTTCAATTAAAATATATTATATTCTGAATGACCTGAACCTGTTTAATCTACTTCTAGTTCTTAAAATTTTCAACCAACCTGTGAATATTTGCTTCTTAAATTACTGCCAGTTGAGGGCTTCACGTTTATAGTCGGAGACAATTCTTTAGTTACCCCGGGTTTTAAAAGTAAATTCTGTAGAATGAAGATATATGAATATGTAATGTATTTTCATGTTGTATATCCATAAAACATCTTTATTACTAAATTACCTACCTGAGAATGAGCAGAAGTGGTTTTCTGTGATGTGACAGTTTTAGTATCTGACGTAGAGCTAGATACAATTTTTCCTTTTAGTTGTTCTTGCAGTCTAACTTGGGTTTGTAGAAGTTCTAACTCAAGTTTGCGCTGTTGCAGCTCCAGCAACTCCTTCTGTTTGTTTATAAGTTTCTGTTGCATGCTTAGAGTTTCTGGATCTACCGAAGAACCACCAGAAACAGGAACAATCTTACCAGTACTTGCTTTGGTAACACCGGTAGGCGCCTACAAAATTATTTTATTTAAAGTCATTTATATTAATGTTAAGTAATACGAGGAATACGACTACATTTTGGTTTTGTGAATACAGGGTAATACAAAAAAGAGAACAAAAAAGACAAGTCTGCTTCAAAAAGTATTTATATTATTTACATTGTAGGATAAAGATTGAATATTTCTCTTAAATTTTTCAGTTATTGTTACTAAAAGAGCTTAAGAGAAAAAAAAGATGCATACTTGCAATATAGTAACATAGACTTACATTCTTTAGGAATTTGGGATTGAGGTGAATGCTATTATTAGGCGGAGGAGCTGTAACAGGCCAAGCTGGATCGAGTTGTTTTATTTGAACATCCAAGGCATACAGTTTCTTTTGTGGTAGCACATCATTCCAAGTCTGGCGTAGTTTAAACATTTCTGAACGTGTTTTTTCATCTACCTACACATTAAAGATATAAAATTTTAGTGATATGATGCTTTATATGGAACTTAAACAATCTATAAAATTCTCAATTGAACAAAATCTTCTATGTAAAGCAAACAAAAAACTAAGTTGAATGCTGCATGTATTTATAAAAACTAAAATTCTACAAATTTAAAGTCGTAAACTATTAAACAACAAAAATGCAAAAAAAACAGACAGCAATAACAAACTATTAATCAAATTAAATTATTTACTTTAAATACCTGTTCAAAGACACTGCAGAACGTAGAGACGATATTTTGACAAAAAAGTGATGTGTACTCTCTTCCAACATTCTTGATAATACAATCAATCAGATAGAGAACTGGAAGCTTGACCTCAGTACGAACCTATACACAAAAGACTCACTCTATGCAGGACTGATATTAATTACCACTCAGATGTAGTATTTGTAATATTTTCACTTTTTATACAAAATTTTCAGGGAACAGATATCACTTATGAATAATATATATATATATTGTACAATGAATTACTTTATGGTGAGTGGGAAGTTATGCATTAAACGAAAAATAAAATATCTTACTTCTGATAATTTATTTGCCAAAACATTACAAGTCTATTTACAAATACTATAATTAGAAATATAAAACCATAATTGGTACGCACACTGCAAAAGATAAGAATACAAGAGTAGGTAAGGTGAAAAAATACACAAAACTGACGTGCATCTGAAAGCCTACTGTAGGTGCAGCTTGATTTAATAAATATCAATACCTTGTTCAAAAAAAAATGTAGAAATGGGATCAACTAAATATCAGTTGTCCCTATAATCAAACTGTACAAAAATAGAAAAAATACGAAACTTTTATGAAAGTGCCATATTTAATGACAAGTTAAAACAAAATAAAAACACCTGTGATCTGTAAGTGTATTTAAGAAAGAACGGTAAGCAAAGTAATTTGAAGAATTAGTCAGAATCGTTTCTCAAAATATTCCTGAATAATCGACTTTTATTTAATCTTTGAATTAAATATTCCTGTACATTCAACAAATATCGGAAATATGATTTAAAATAAAATAAATTAATCAACTGATAATATCAAAATTACTAATATTAAAAATTAATTTTTCCATGGGAGAAGACATTCAAAAAAACTGATTGAAAAAATTTTTTATAGAATTATCCAAAAAAAAGTTCTGGTGATGATAAAACACTTCCACTGTAACGATTTCTTCGTTTTTAATACATAAATTGGATCTTAAATAAATATCTTAAACTTCACATTTATTATTTGATGAAGTAAATTTGTATCTATTTATCATATGTTAATGAATTTAGCTAATATTGTTAAATGTTTGTGTTTTTGACACAGCTGGAATAATTTTTTAAACATAAATATCAAGAAAATATAAAATACTAGCAATTGTAATGAAAATTTCTAAATTTAAGAATATTATTTTTTTCTCATTAATAAGTATTAATTTTTCCTTAAGAATCCATTATTTATTAACATTGAGGATTTTTAGAAAATTGAGAATACTTTACTCAATAGGCAATCACTTTACAGATTTCTTATAGACATCATAACAAATAACAGCTACACCAGATGGATATGTGTGTAAGGTGCATTATTTATACCATATTCATTGTTCTATTCTTGCATTTTACCAAAGTATTTTGTAAATATTTCATCTACATTACTACAATGATTATTACTTTCCAGTTAAGGTATAAGTGCACAACACAATATGGCACATTCATAAAATGTTACTTCAAATCTTAACTTTCAGTGTTATCTACAAACACATGCCCTAGCATGTTCATATGCAGATTTGTAAATCGACGTACTCTAAATTATGGTTAATAATAAATTAAAAACAATACCCTTGTAAGATGATTTTCTATGACTCCAACTATATCTTTAGCATGCTGAATGTTCTCCTCTGCTAATATGGTTAGAACACTAATTAACGGTTTGCTATTAAAGGTGAGATCTCGCAAACTCGATGCATATTCCTCTTTAACTTCATTACTGCTTGCCATATTTCTTTAATCACTTCTGTTCACTGTAGTAATGGCACCATTTCCATGAATTCCTACAATATACAGCAAACGTCACTTTTTTTTATGACGCATTTTTGGGCGATTATAATTAACAAAATAGTAATCACTACATAATTATTATTACCTGTATATGTATAAAAAGAATACCAGCATTTACGAGTTCATTATATTTGAAATGAATGTATTATTAAATTATATCACGTTAAACAAAATGGCGTTATTGTTTTGTCGTTCAAGAACCCGAGAGTACCGATGTCACATTTAATCCCACAAAGGATTTATAACTTCACCTCACTATTTATTCTCTTAGATTTAGCTACAATGCTATTTAACAAAATTATTATTCACTCCCTTGTTAAACAGCCAAAGAAATTAATTCACAGTGTACTGAATCTGAATGCACTGAATCGGTGAGCACACGCGAGTGTAAAATGCGCAAGTCTGACTATATGTGCCTCACAGGATCGGTGTGTACGATACCACCACAGGACTTTACGAATAGAAAATTTAGACACTCCTAAATAATTTAAGTAAATTAGCTTTCTTTTTGCTTTATATGCCTTAGTTTCGAAAGTAAGAATTTAAAATTAAACATTGACTAAGTGAATTATAAATTTGATTAAAGATGAAAGAAAGATTACTGTAAAAAGGAGAAGTGAGCAAGAAGTTAGCAGGCACCTTCGACCGTTGCAAATTTAAATAAACGTCAAAGTTAATTTTGTTAAACAGGAAGGATTGTAATAAATGAATGTTACGGTAAAAAGTTGTTAATAAGTTGCAAATATGGAACATACTAAGTTTAATCATATTATAAAGAAGAGTATAACATCATTAAAACAAGAAGAAAATGTAACAGTGTGCTTATTAACTGAATTAGAGAAAAGTGCTCTTGGAGTTTTATCAGAAAATAAGATTATATTGAGTGCAGTTAATAAATTTCAGGACAATTTTTCTAAAAAAGCTTTATATGTCAAAGAACGAAAAGAAGCACTTTTAGAGCAATTACAACAAATATTATCTGCCACAGAAAAAGATAATCATGTAATTGTAAGTTAAAAATTGTTATTATTTTTGTTTTAATTCCTCTGTTGAACTGCTTGTTTTTTATAATTTGTAAAAATCTGGCAATGAAAATTACTTTTGTGAACTTAAATAAGTTTTTCTGTAGCAATTAAAACTCCATGAAAAGGGTAAATTAAAAGAAAAACTAGAAGAATTAAAGAGAAAGAAAGAAGAATTAACAAATAACAAAGAGCAAACAGCAGGACAACAAATTAATGTTGATAATTTAAAGTAAGTATTATAAATGTTGAATCTGTAATTATTTTTAATTGAATTTTCAAATGTTAACAGGAATTGTTTGAGAGTTTGCAAAGTACTAACCAAAACACATTTTGATTTTGGTAATTCAGTTTGTGGTTGTATCCTTTTTTTTATTATTTTAATTTTATAGTCATAATCATTTTTCTTAATTATTATTAAAGATACACTTGATGAAGATTTAAATTACAAATGCTTTCATCTTAAACATCAGGAAGATCAACATAAAGTCATTGAGTATTTGTGGGATAACATGCCAATTAAAAGTTCTACTACAAGTAAATAAAGCAGATAATTTTTATAATAAATTGCATATTAATTCTAAAAATAAGTCAAACTTATTTCATATTTCTCCTGTAAGCTACCCTTATTTAAACCAATAATCACATACAGTAGTAAATCTCATTAAGAAACGGTTTTCGAATAAAAGAAATCAAAAATATTTCTTAAGAACTAAGTAGGTGCATGATGAAAAGTATCATCTAAAACAAAATTTTCACGATCTATTTTCGTAAACAATATATTTTGAACTTTGGAAACCACCAGTCTTTCATCTTTCATTCAGGCTTCACAAGAAGGTAACCGACTTTTCTTGCTTTTTGTATTCTTAAAGTAATTATGCTACAAAAAGTATTCATAATGGGCGATTAAATAAACTATTAAGCAAGCAACCCACATTACCGCTAATCATTGAAGTTAGTCATTGTAAAATTGTCTCAAGGTCGTTGCCATATCAAGTAATTATTAATTTTTTATATTATAGGTGTAGATAAATTTTTAATTGTAAAAACATTAACAACACAATAAACTGTAGAAGAATATAAAGTGGATGCAAAAGTGATAAGTTGTTGGAAGCTAGACAATTAAATTAACCATATATAAATGTATAATTACGCTTCATGTTTTTGTGTTTAGGTTATTCTTGTCAAGCAGTTAATTGCGTGAATATGTTATCCGTAAGTTCTAAAATCTTTTTAAAGTGTAATGTTTTCATCTAAAAGTATTGTTTGGACATTTGTTGCATCCCATCAATTTAAATTTCTTCCCCGCAAAAAAGATTATAACCTAAAAAACTCACTCTTTCAAGAATGTAAAAAATGCAATGTCCAGGAAGTATTCTACAAAATATTTTCGAACTATAATCTTTTTAGAAATGAAAACAATTTAATTATGGCAGACCAGATAAAAAAGCATGTAGATAATTTGTCTGCTAGGAGAATTGCTGCTGAAGAAATCACAAATGTCGAAGATCTTCTATCTAACGGTTTTGATACAAAAGTTATTAATTCAGCAGAAAATCGTTTAATAGAATTACAAGAAATAAAGGATACCAGTTTGCAAAGTGGCAACTTTTTAAATTTAATGAGAGGGTCTGATGACCTAAATCCTAATTCAACATCTTGGCCCTTAGGAAATGGTGCAATGAATGTGAATCAGTTTGGTCTTCCTTGTGTGCCATATCTAACATTTTCACAATGTGTATTGCAAAATCAACATGAACGAATTGCACATGTACCCACACAGAATTGTATGAAGTATGACTTATGTAGAACTGAAACTCCTACAGAACTACTTCAGAAAACAAAAAGTATTTATTATTTTAGTATAACTGACTTCATTTTTTTTTTAAATTGTGGGTAATTTCAGCAATAGGAAAGTCTGTGAAGACACTTAGGCAGTGGAAGCATTCTAAAAATATTTCTAATTCGGGCGATTCTTCAAGGAAAAAAGGATTTATATTCAAATTATTATGTTATAATGTATTGGCTCAATCACTTTTAGAAGAACATCCTTATTTGTACCAAGAACATGTGCAAGAAAATTTAAAATGGAAGAGACGATGGAAAAACTTAAAACAGGAAATTACTGAACAGGATCCAGATGTAAATTTTTCTTTTTAGTTTTAAAAACTTATTTTTTGATGGGAAACAATTTACAGATAATTTGCATGCAAGAAGTTCAAGAAACACATCTTACAGATTACTTTAATATCACCTTTGATAGTTTAGGTATTTATTAAGAGGACATATGAAATTGTTTTTGTCAGTAATTTTGTTTTATCGTAATTAGGATACAAAAGTTTGTACAAAAAAAGAACGGGATATAAAGTGGATGGGTGTGCAATATTTTGGAAAAATGACATATTGGACCTTCTAGAATATGAAACTGTAGAATTCAATCAGAATCATAGCACAGCTATTGATCGCGATAACGTTGCTATCATAGCAAAGTTTGTGCCGCGATTGTACCCAAAGGCTGAGTTTATAGTAGCTACAACTCATTTACTTTACAATCCAAGACGAGAAGACATACGTATGGCCCAAGTACAACTCTTATTAACTGAGCTAGATAGACTGGCTTATAAGTTAAAATGTAAAGATGAAAAGTAGGAGTTTTTAAATGTATTTTTACATTAAAGATATTTAAAATAAAATTTCAGTGATACCTATAAGTATGTACCTGTAATATTGACTGGAGACTTTAATACACAACCATTTTCACCTGTATATGAACTTATAACATCAGGAAAATTTGAATACCAATATCATCATCTTTTCATGAAGAACCGCCTTCTATCACCACATTTAGGAATTACAGGTGAGGGATAAAAATTTTAATCTTAATCAGCTTTAAAATATTAATTAATTCGAAAATCGTTTGTCTGGGAACATTTTTGGTAACATCCTTTGAAAATCAGACACAGAATTCATTAATTGTATTAAACTCAAAAATTCAAACAAACCATTATTCCGTTTTTCAGATACTTGTCAACACATTGAAATACTAAAAAAGAGAATGTCTAAGGAACCAGGCAATGCAAGTGATAAACATCTTACACAATTGCAACATAGGGAGAGCAATTTTTATCCAGTCAGAAAATCCCCCTCCTCTGAACATAAGGGACTTTTCTGTTCTGGACAACTTTCTCACCAACTAAAACTAAAGTCTGTATTTAAACATAATTTGGGAGATAAACGGGAAGCAACAACTTACCAGGATGAATGGGTAACTGTCGATTATATTTTTTATAGGTGAGTGTGGTGTAGCCATCCATTAGTGGCAGTAAATTGCTTATCATTTTTAATTAAAGTTAAAAAAAATATTTCAATATCATTCTGGGAAACTCCAAACACTTTAATGGCTTCTTTAGCTGCATAACATATATACCTCTCACAACTTTAGAGATTAGTTCGTTACTCGTATTATTTTACAAATATAGATTTTGCGACCCCATATTTTTTGGCTAAATATGTAACACTTCTCATCATTCAATTCCTGAATTACAAGCGATTTCTTATAGTTTACTTTTTTAACCCAAATTTCATGTATGGGTTGATGTATACAGAAGTTACTAAAGCAAAACGCATATAATACATTCAGTATTAACAGGGAACAATTTACAGCAATGGCTCTACAATAAAGAGAGAAATATCTAACGCAGTTTTTGAAGATTTTTTATCCTCCCCTCCTAATGTTACGAAACACCTTAGTGGCCATTTTTACTTAAAAATATTAACGTCGCGTAAAACACCGGAAAATCGCTAAAACATCGCTGATTACTGATACCATCGTGTTTACATTTCACAGAAAAGTCGCAAGAAACAGACATAACAGATTTATTGTCATATCTTTTTTTATTCAACAAACACATAAAGTTACATAACACATTACTTGACACCTCCTCTCTTGGCAACTACGTTACATGATATTTGAATAACTGCAAAGGCGATATTTCGAAAAACGACCAATGGGCGATTTTTTCTACAACCCGAGGTTTATTTTGTTGACGGTACCTATACTATTGTTTAGTTGTCACATTATGCAGGGTTTTCGTATTGATTAAGAGAGCCCATTATGGAAACAGAAACATTCGAAATAAAAATATTTACTTATCTATATTTTGATAATTTCATGAATGTAAAAGGCTTTTACTATCAAACGATTTATTTTAATGTATTTTCTTTTTAGTAACGTCGAAACCACGAACAATAAAGTTATTGAAAAGAAGTTAAAAGTTATGTCACGTTATACAATTCCTACTGAAGATCAGCTGAATAATGTGAAGATTCCTAATTCAGAAATAGGTTCTGATCACCTTTTGTTAGCAGCTAAGTTTGTAATTCAAGAATAAACTAACACATATATAATCAGAGTTTAGAATCATACTTGTTACAATTTTATAAAAGATTTAGTTTTATACCATCTGCAAAAAAGTGTGGAGTGATTTTCTGTATTTTGCAGTTTATAACAATAACTTAATAAATGTGAACTTTTAAAATTTATTTTAGCATCTAACGTAATGTAATTTTGAGTAATAGTAAACAATTGTGTTCTGAAACTTTTTTTATTACGCTTTCCTATTTTCGTTTATCAGTTGCGTTAAACTGTTATTTAAATTATTCCACATTTGGAAAAAATTTCGTATGTACTCGTATGTGTTTCCCCTATCAAATACATATACTATCTGTAAATGTGTATACCGGGTGTACCAATAAACATGCACTATCATGGCTGTGTTAATTGATGTGACAGTTAAATGCAGAGTTTTATACTTTTTGAATGAATGAATTCCCACTTATTGAAAAAAAAAATGAAAAATGTCTCCGAATAGATTATTATATTTTGACGATGTTTTAGAACACACTAATTAACTAAAACGCTAATGAAGAAATTCAATCAAAATCAATAATTAATATCATTTACCCCACATTTCTACTTTAATAGCAATTAATACGTACATACATTAATGTTAATTGAAACGCCATTCGTATGATTTTTGCAAATAATTAAAAAAAATAAGAAAAACGAAGAAAGTAGGTCACATTCGATCTAATTTAATTTCATTTACGTTTATAATGACAAACAATACCTAAACAGTAAATATCCCCTATTTAATAAATGAATTAACGAAAAGTGTGCGTGTACTGTACTTATTAGAATGATGGGTTAAGGTAGGGAAAGCAACACTCACGAAGTGTGTATTGTTGTTATCATGTAGGTACTCCAATAAATGGATATGACTGTAGCTATAGATTATCCTTTCACCATGTCTAACGTCTATGCATGGTCTATGCCTATTATTTATCTATGCCTATTATCGTAACATGATCGTAACTGTCAGTCCTATGCTGTCAGTCATTTGACAGTTAAAGTGTCTTAATCCTACCTTTTGTGAAATTATTTTCTGAAACTAGTGAAAAAATACTAATTTTAATAACCATGGTAAGTAGTAAGTGAAAATAACTACATAAGTACATGTAGTTCTAGTGAAATTATGCTCCTTACAATAATATTTCGTGATACTGAAAGCCAACCAGCTATACTTATTAATGGGAAGACATATCATTGGTTTTTAAATGTATGTTTGCATTAAAAGAATAACTTGAAATATTTTATTTTTAGGGGAACGAAAGTTCTTTACCCATGGAATTATGCTCTAATTGTATGTATTTTGGGTGTTTTCTTATTATACAATTTATAAAATTAAATATTTTGCTTAGTTGATGCTGACGAGATACGACGTCTGGGAAAGAGATTTAGGAAACTTGACTTGGATAATTCTGGAGCTTTAAGTATAGATGAGTTTATGTCTCTCCCAGAACTGCAACAAAATCCACTTGTTCAGCGTGTGATTGATATATTTGATGCTGATGGAAATGGCGAAGTTGACTTTAAAGGTAATACTGACACTACTTAATACTGTAACAGAAATAGTAGAGTTGGATTGAGAGCTATTACTCTTTCAAATATTTTGACATGGTAGTTAAAGTAGGAATTGGACCTAAACAAAATAGTAATAGTAATCTCAAATTTATAGAATCAATAGAAAAAACTAAAATCCACATTCTGTTAAATTTTCTTGAAACAGATTCATTGTAATGTAAATTAATGTGTCCCTTGTTTTTCTTTGAAGTACAATAATGATATTTGTGTTATATTATAATATGTACTTTACAATAATAGGGGTTTAGGTATGTATAAAAATTTTTAAAGTAGAAAAGTTTTTCAGTTCATCATTTCATATAGACGCATGTTTTTTAGAATTTATACAAGGTGTCTCACAGTTCAGTGTTAAAGGGGATAAATTGTCGAAGCTAAGATTTGCATTCAGAATTTATGACATGGATAATGATGGATATATTTCAAATGGAGAGCTGTTTCAGGTATGACTTGTGAATTTTGTTAATCTTCCTTTTCCTGCACAGTAATATGTCTAAGGTTCTCAAAATGATGGTCGGCAACAATTTAAAGGATACTCAGTTACAACAAATTGTTGACAAAACAATTTTGTTTGCTGACAAAGATGAGGATGGTAAAATATCATTTGAGGAATTCTGCAATGTTGTTGGGAATACTGACATTCATAAAAAGATGGTTGTAGATGTTTAATTTAACTAAATTCAACAAAAAAATGTCCAATTTTGGTTGGTCACACAAAAAACACGTGCTTTTAATTTTTTAATTATATATGAACCCGTTTTTTTTTTTATTAATCTAAATGCAAATCATAGTTACTGCTATTCACTGTTTAAGAAACAATCACTTTTCTCTTTTGTTTAGTGTATTCATAGAGATATAAGAATAAAGCATTCAAGCTACATGTTAACAAATAACACTACAGATTTATGAGGAGAGAATGAATCGGGCTAAAATGTCTTAATCTCTGCTGAAACCGATTCGTATGTCGTCTTTTGGGCTGAAATAATTTTTTCAGCTTGGTTGACTGCTTTGTTCTTTTGTCCTTATGGATATGTTTGATTAAAAAAAGAAACATTTATTGTTAGGCTAAGAGTAGCAACATGATATTTTTAATTTATTTAACCCTTCAGGTGTATGCTTTATACATAATTGATAATTTAAATGATATTAATGGCTTTTCAAAAATCATATTCGACTTAATATTGTATCTGTATTCATTAAGTTTAATGATGCTTCACATTTTAAGCATAAAACCTGCTTGTTGTTCACAGCAGTTCGTTTTATATGGAATTTAACAAAATAATGTAGCAGAGTTGTAATTTATATTTCATCTGAATGTTATGTGTATAATACTAAAAGAAAAAAACTTAAAAACGTACCTATTAACTATGTGTTTGACTTCTAGTAGTGTTAAAACTTGCATTGTATTTAATAAGCAAAATTGCACTTATTTCAGTAGATTGTCACTGATAAATTGGTACATCACTCTCTAGATCTCCAGTTGGTCGAGTTTTAGTGCACGACTCGTTCAACTTTCGATCTGAATTTATCGGGCAAAATCTTATATTACAGTAACTTCATAAAATTTCATCATTTTCTTTTTGAAATGTGTATGCTTTTAATGTTATGTAAAACTTAAAAACTATACACATTTCCTTTTCCTTTCGAAGTGGGTGAAATTTTACCTGTTGTTTTAAAATTCGCTGACTGTTCCTCTAGTGTGCGAAGAAGAACTGAACCGAATTTTAATAAATTTGAATTAAGATTTAGCCCAGATATAGAAAAGTAGAATTAATTATCTATGTAGAGGATAGTTAATATTAGGGTAAAATATTGATAGTTGTTTAAATTTGCTTGTATAAAACTTTATGGTTGTGTTGTGCTGTTAAAGCGATTTGTTCTGTTTAAAGGTTGTGTTTATCAATAAAATGATTTCATCAAATATTAAATTACTTTGATTTTTTACAAAAAAAACATCCTATCAAAATATTTTAATCAAAAGACAAAAAAATTCGTATTTTGTCAAAATAAACGTTAATTTTTTTATAAATTTTGCTTTAGTTTAGTAATAAAGTAATAATGTATTTCTATTAAATTATTCGAGGCATTTTTGTGCGTAAATAAAATCTGCTTTTACAATCTCAATAAAAAATAAAATTTTGAATTTTAAATTTCCTGCTTAATTTGCATGGCTACCTTTTCTGGGGTTGCAACACTGACACGTGGCACTGCTACCAATGACCTCAAATGTCAAAAAATTGACATCACATTTAAAAATAACCTCTTTGCAATTCCTCTCTCCAGCTTGTTTAACGCAAGAACCATGGTTGCCGGCGTAAGTTTAAAGCATTATCCTCAAATATATGTGACATCCGTATTTTTTATGCTTTAATATGTACCTTTATTTTATTGTTATTTTAAATTATAGTTTATTTTGTAGACCTTGTACACGTATCCCGAAAATTTTCGTGCTTATAAAGCACTGATTGCTGCAAAATATTCGTCTGCAGATGTCAAAGTCGCTTCTAATTTTGTCTTCGGAGAGACTAACAAGACTGAAGAATTTTTAAAGAAATTTCCTTCTGGAAAGGCAAGTACTACATCCTATATCAAATTTCTATCTTTTCAAAGTCGTTTATAATTAGGTACCTGCTTTTGAATCTACTGATGGAAAATGTTTACAAGACAGCAATGCTATTGCATATTATGTAGCAAACGACCAACTTCGAGGGAAAAGTGATTTCGAGAAATCACAGGTGCTTCAATGGATATTTTTTGCTGAAACTGAAATACTGCCTGCTTCTTGTGCCTGGGTATTTCCAGTCTTAGGAATTATCCAATTTGAAAAAAAGGTAGTTTAATATATTGTTATAAAACAATTATAAATTACATAGAACAATTTTTTAGGTGTTTGAAAGATCGAAGGAAGATGTTAAAAGTGCATTAAATATCTTAGATGCTCATCTTCTAACAAGAACCTATCTTGTAGGAGAGCGTGTTTCATTAGCTGATATTGTTGTAGCCTGCACCTTACTTCATTTATACACTCATGTCCTAGATCCAGAGTTTAGAAAACCTTTTGTAAATACTAACAGATGGTTCACAACAGTAATCAATCAGTCCCAGTTTAAAGAAGTTGCCGGTGAAGTCAAATTCTGTGAAAAAGTAGCTGAAGTTGATCATAAAAAATTCCAACAGTTACAACAGCAACAACAAGGTAAAAATTTGTTTTAATGCCATAAAAGTTATTAATATTTATTTAAAATGTTTCAAGCAGCTTCTCAGATGAAAAATAAGCAGTGTAGGTAAAATATATTGACTAAATTTTATGCCTGGTATCCTTAAATAATTATAAGGTTCCTGGTTTAGACAGTTTTGTAAATAGACATGCTCTGTAGAAATCAGTTACATATGAAAACTTTTTAAATGTCTTTTTTAAGTTAAAGGAAAAGAAAAGAAAGCACCTAAAGAAGAAAAGAAGATTCCTGCAAAGAAAGAGAAAAAGCAACAAGAGAAAGAACCTGAAGAAGAACTTGATGCAGCAGATGCAGCCTTAGCTGCAGAACCAAAAAGTAAAGATCCATGGGAATCACTACCTAAAGGGTATATTTTCTTTATTTATTTTTGTTACTTAATAAGCTTTAAGTGTGTTAGCATCTGATTTTATCCACCATTTTTTTGTGGGATTCAGGTGATTTTTTTATGAATATTTTATTTTTATTCATAAATTGGTGCATTTTCCACTCTAATATGTGCTTACTCCTTCTGTGTTTAATCATTTATAACAAGAGAAAAACATTTGTAGAACATTTGTGATGGATGATTTTAAGAGAGTTTATTCCAATGAATCTGAAGAAAAATCAATTCCTTACTTCTGGGAAAAGTTTGACCCAGAAAATTATTCAATCTGGAAGGGAGAATATAAATATAACAATGAACTTACAAAAGTTTTTATGAGTTGCAATCTTATTACAGGTAAATTTATAGAAAGTTATTTATATATTCTCTTACAAAGGCAGGCAAGTATTTCCTATGACTTGTTCTGTAACTGAGAGAGATATATAAAATAGAAATGTTCCACACTGTCATACCATTTGATATAGAACAGCACTATAACATTTCAACATATTCTTGGTTTCAAATATTTATGTAGTTCATAAAAATAATAGGTTATAGCCCAAAATTACAATTATAACAAAATTTGAACTGTAGTAATTTAATATGTATATGTAGTATAGTTGGTTCAGAAAATTTTGGAAATATGTATTTTTATTTTATTGAAATCAATTTACAAAACCTTTAGTATCCAATATTGGATGTTAATTAAAAAAAGTTAAACAGTTATCATTCTTTTGCTGCTTGAAAAACTCTATTTTCTTTTCACAGGAATGTTCCAGAGATTAGATAAAATGCGTAAAAATGCTTTTGCATCAGTTTGCTTATTTGGCACAGACAATGACAGCACTATATCTGGTATATGGGTATGGAGAGGCCAAGATCTTGCTTTCAATGTAAGTTTCCCCATACAAACCTAAGTTATTTAATGTATTAAAATGTGTTAACTTTCTTATAGTTAAGTCCTGATTGGCAAATTGATTATGAGTCATATGCATGGACTAAACTTGATCCAAAATCAGAAGAAACAAAGAAACTTGTAGAGCAATATTTTTCATGGACAGGTGCAGACAAAGATGGACGGAAATTTAATCAGGGAAAAATATTTAAATAATCAAATGATTCACAAACGGTTTTTCTTTTTTAAAAAGTGGTTTCTGTGCTTACATGTTCATTTTTATATTAACAATAGGTGAAAAGTGTTTTCAAATATTTATATTACTATTCAATACTAGTACTATAGTTATATTGCCAAGAAACAGTTCCAATTTATTTCAAATGTACCATTTTTCCATACTACTCCTTGGAGTCTTAATGATTGTAAATAAAAGAAAACAGTAATTCACGTTGTTGTTTTATTATATTTGAATTACAAAATGTGTTAATAAGACATTGAAAAATCTGTGTAACTTCTTTCTCAACATTTTTTTTATTAGACAATTTTCAGTTATTAATATAGGCAATATATACTCTCAATTAGTGTCCATACCTAAAACAGAAATAAATGTAGTATAATGCTAATTATTACAACAAACTTAAGTACTTCTGAAATTCCCACTCCCTATTGTCTAGTGGACAGACTTGCCTTGTTTTTAACCATCGAGATATACAATGGAAATGGAAAGCATGCTGCAAATAAAGATTAATTGATATAGGTTCTTTTACCTATTAAGTAATTATACTTACATTACATACACCCCATGCTACAGTACATTCTTCGCTAGTTGCAGAAGCTTGATTAGCTTGACATTCAATGCAGAGATCCATTATGTGGTTACGGCAAATCGCACAATTATCAACGACAATATCTGAAGATTACAATTTATTACAATCAATCAATTAAAGAAATCTTAATAGAAACTTACCCCAAGCCCAAAGGGCAACGGCATTCCACTAAAAAGTTTTAAAAATCATCATTTACAATAGGTTATGTACAAAACGATTATTCACCTTTTTAACTTCAAACCTTTTCTTTTCGCCTTTAGAACTGCTGGACGTGGGCAACTCAACTTCTTCATCGTCTACATCCATTGCTGAAGCCATTTTATATTTTCCACGATTTTTTATGAAACAAAAGTCTTTTCTACTACCTATTTAGGTACTACAAACTGGCAGAAGCACCAGCAAGTATCTATGGTTTTTCTTATATGAATGTTATGAATGGTTATGAATGCATCTTCATTATCAATGATTTTTGTTTCACAGTCTTGTTCATAAGTGACAGATCGTTAGAAATATAAATCCTTGCAGAATTAACGTGTTTTATGAAAGCAATTTATATATTTAAGTAATAGTGAGCATAGAAGAAGGTAATAACATATTTGAAATTCTTTTTAGTTAAATTAGACGTTTATTGTTTCTTATTACAGGTTAAATTGCACTTGACAGTGTTGCGGCCATTTCCATGATTATAATATAAGGTGAGAATTAAAGTAAGTTGTTTTTTATAGTAAGAAATAAATATAGGTAGATATGGATTAATGGTTTTCCTACAGATAAAAAACGAAAGCATAGTTCACAATTATAAAAGCTATAGGGATATAGTTAATTGAAGAAATGATATTGTATGTGTCTATGCCAGTAAACCATTGCAAGGATTTCTAATTAAAATGCAGTAATTTAATATGTACCTGCAAAATAATTTTCAATCATTCGTGCATATTTGTGTTAATTGTAATATAGGGATATAATTGAGTAACTACAGCAACTATGTAGAATGATCAAACAATACCATGCAGGTATGAGACTCCTGCAATTGCAGCCTTTCTTTACTGAACTGGTGAAAGTAATCTTTTTAAGTTGTAATTATACTTCGAGTTGTTTGTGTTTGATGAAAATTTTGGTATAATAGTTTACATATCCAACTGAATTAATTCATACAGGTCCTTTTAGAATGGTTAATGCTTCATATATCTATATAATGGTAGGATTTATTTTGAGGAAGAAAAGTGCTAAATAGTTGGCATTCTTAATTATTTTCAGTTTAATATTGTAGATCAATTTTAAAACATCATTAAATTATATTTTAAGCATTAGATAGTGTAAGAATTTGGACTGTTGGTTTTACAAAAGCATAATTTGAAATTAAAACTCAGCTATAAATTTAAAAAAGTTTTAATTTCCAGTTTGAATTTTATTGCATATAATATTTCAAGTTTTGGTATCCAATAAATAATAAACTTATAAAATTTGAATGCAGTTTTTTCAGAAATATTATAAGGCCTTATTGTTTAATACAAAAGGGATAATATTAATGCTGATATTTGCCCAGTTTATAACTTGATTGGAGTAATTTTTTGTTTTATAATAGTTAGTTGTAATCACATTACATCTTATACCTATCTACACATATTTATTTGTTTTGCACAGTTTTAAATAACTATNTATAGCAGTATTAGCATCTATTATTATAAAATATATTATCTATTTTCACAAGGGGATGCTAATAAAATAAGTTCGCAAATAAGGGAGAGGGAGTGGTATTGCTCAGCGTGACGTGATGTGAAAAGGGGGAGGGGGTCAAAGGAAATGTGATGTTCATAGTTCAATTTAATTTTAATTTTTTTATTAAATTGGCAGTTTTCAAAATTTTTCATTACGACACAAAGTTATTCTTTTGTGACGTAATATTTGTTAGGTGATCGTTGAAAGTGTGGCTTAACGCGATGAAGGGGAGGAGGGGGAGGTCCAAAAAGATGAAATTCTGAGGGATGACCCCAATACAAAAAAAAATGTTAAAAAGAATTTTACGTTTTCAGTTTGTTAGGCACTCGATATAACATTTGTTTTAAAATGGCATAAAAAAAGATTTTTTTTAAAAAAAAATAGTAGATTATTGAACAAAAGCTTTTACGTAACGTATTGTTTATTCGTTAAATATTTACATATTACGATATTGATTTTAAAGAAGGTTAATTCGGTTATGTAGCGTAATATAAAAAAATATTTTATCCATAATTAGTTTAAAGTAACGTAAAAAAATCGGTGTGAACAGTGTTGTGGTGCAAATATGTGATCAACTATGAAAGGACGTCAAACTTCTTGGCTAACCACCACCTACTTACTTGAAAAATCTTCCAAACTCAGAAGCGAGTCGTTCAATAATTGTATATTCAATAATCTTGATGATGGCTAAACTTAATACTTGGTGGAACATATATAAACAAAAAAGAGATAAGAACGCCTGGGTTTGTTTCACATTTTTTTTTTAAGAATTGTACTACAAGCTTCAAAATTTTGAATAAATGTAAATGAAACCAAGCATTTTTATTCTTTTAAATTCCTATTAAAACTAAGTTGATGGTCCTAATAACATCAACATTAAGTTTTACTTATTATTTTGTATTGTTTGTTACAAATAAAATGTTTTTATTCACTTTTTATACTTGTTGTTATTATTTTTTATTTGACAAATAATGAACTGCAACAGAGGACTTGTAGCTAATTAAAATTTATTGAATGTAAGGATTTTTATTTTGGTGATCAATAAATGACCCCTTCATGCTTGCTTCTTAAAAAAAATAATCGAAATGACACAAATTCTTTTGCTAAATTTACCATATTTTACTTAATATCGTGCAGCAACTAAAACAAACGTATCGCTTTTGCGCTGTGAAAGGGAAAGTTTAGTTATCGTTAGTTCGATACATGTATACGGCGATATTGTTTGATTTTCTATTTTGGGAGCCAAAAATAATAATTGGGGGGAGGGGTGACGTTTTTCTTCATTTAAAAGTGACAGCCGCTCAAGTATATAATCAGTGGATGGCAAATTTGTTATAATAGTGTTGTGTATCTTTATTATAAATTTTAATATACGTACACATAATATATATATGTGTATGTATGTATTTTAAGTAATTGTAAATAACTATGTTGTATATTGTAAATGCGTTTTAATTATTTAATTATTGTTATTATTATAATAAAGCTGCTTAAACTACGTACTCCATTATTGGTAATTGTAATGGTTATATTAGTAGGTAGGTACCTATAAATGGTACTGTACTTGCTAAACATTTGTTGGACAAGACTTCTTGAACCTATTAAAGTAATGAAGTCAAAATGTTTAGAAACCAGTCCAGTTGAAAGTTTGCAAAGCACGTAGTACTTTTCAATAACCTGCAACTTGAACACAAAAAAGAAATTGAAATTTAGAGATATTACTTTGGAATGTGAATATTTATTAATAGATTCTAAAAATAGTTGTAATCAATTAAAACATTTATCTTCAGCTTATGGTAGGTACTTAGTATTGCCACCTTTTTGATGATACTCTAATCTTATTGAATCCTTAAAAGTACTGCCTGGCGCAACTAGTCAGAATTGTACATTTCAATTAAGTAAAGTTTAATCATGTCAGATAGAGATGCGTATTTGTTTAAATAGTATTTCTTATGTAGGTACTTACAGTTTCGGAAAATTAGTACACAATAAACTATGAATTTAAAATAAAAAATTAATGTGAGCTTATAATAAGATGACTAACTGTAAATAATTGATATACGTTTAATTTCCTCCCTGGAATTTTCTGTTGTATGTTGTAATTATTGTTATAAAGAAAAATTTAAAATTGAGACTTCATGTTTAAATTAAGAAGTCAAAACCGCCTGACGATAGTATTAAATAACTAAGTGACAATTTTAAGTATATGATTGGTTTTCATATTCTAATTAAATTAAATCGAATTGTGAATTACCACATCGAAAATTTTCTCGAGCTCGTTACACAATACGTATTATAGTGACTCCTACTTCACACACATTGACAAACAAATAACATCTATAACATTTCTTTGTAATAAAAAATCCTACGTTACAAGCCTTACGTATACACTTACTTTTTTGTTTAAATATAATACTTTCCGGATGTATTATCAAAATAAATATGTTTTCTCTTCTCTTGAACACTGAATTTTTATGTAGTCGTCTTAAGGCGTTTAAAGCCTTGAAAAGTCCTGGATAAATATCGAGGGGCTGCTTTCTCTTTTGGTTTGAATGTCTATTCTCATGGTATTGTTTTATTAGCCCTTTCAGAAAATATAATCCAGAAAGGCGAGAAGGTAAATCGAAGGTAACCTATATAATAGGGTATTTCTGCAAAAGTCATATATAATAGTCGTTTTAGAGATGTCGTGGCCCCAATGGCCCGGAGGTGGGACTGCACAACCAGGTTTAGTTGCGCCTTTGACCACCCCACTAATAAATCCAACCCCGGCTGTAGTAAATCCTAGTAACATTGCCCCAACTGGTGTACCTTACACTGCTGAACAATGGGCTCATATGCAGCAGCAAAATTGGCAGCAATGGGCCCAATGGCAGCAACAGTTTCAACAGTGGCAACAGCAGTATGGAGCGCAGGTACATCATCTAAACGGTTTTTTGGTATTTGGTTGTTTTAATTTAAACATGAACATATCCTTTTAGTATGCAAAGACACTAAGCGCTTTAACGTCTCAAACGCCACCTACGCTACAACCCAACTTGCCAAGCACTAGTGTACCCCCGCCGCTTCCAACTGAATCTAAACCTCCTCCGCCACCTGAGGAACCACCAAGTGGTGTCTTTTCTGAACCTTCAGTTCCTGCTTATTCGGGATACACAACTGCTCCTTCAAACCCTTCAAATTATACCACTACGACGGCTTCGCAACCTCGTATCGGCTATTCTGCAGTTAATCAGCCTCCACCTGGTTATCAAACTCATTCACGAGTTGGTCAATTATCCGAAACAATCAGTGATAATAGACCTGGTTATACAGGTAATTTTGATGATAATCGGTGGCAGAATCAAGGTTTTCATCGTAACAGTTCTTACAATCAACCAGTAACAAGTCAACCGACAAACTTTTCGAAACCGCCACCAAAAATAATTACTGGTGATGTTACCGCAAGAAACGATTTCGGAAATAAAAGGCCTTATAATCAACCGCCGAATTACGGGGATCCAAAGAAGAGTAGATTTCAGCAGGAAGCTGGTAGTGCTTGGCCATTGAAGAAAGAAGAATTAATTGAAACTGGATCGACACAACAAAAGCCATCGGCTCAAACTAATATTGAGGAACTTTCGGAAGCAGAAAAAAAGTTTGATAAACAGTTTGCAGAATGGGAGGCTCAATTTCAGAAGTGGAAGGAGCAAAATGCAAACCATCCGGATAAGGCACAGTATAAAGAATACGAAAAAAAATGGGAAAACTGGAGAGCGCAGCTCCTTGAACGGAGAGAACAAATGAGACGTAAACGTTTGGGTTTGTTGGGAGACCCCAAGTTGGCTCAAAATAAACCTAATCAAGCGAAAGGTCAAATTCGTAGTCAAACAGAACCTGCAACTCCACACGCAGCTCCTTCGACAGAACCTCAAACGGAACACAGTGGATCTCGATCGATTTTAACCGCCACTGATGAGAATAAACAAAATAGTGTTTCAGAAAAGAAATTACCTTCTGATTTAAAGGACGAACAGCCACAACCTAATGATCTTCCCCAAAATTTTGTGAATAACGAAAATGATTTATTGAGTCATGAAAAAGGAGATGGTTCGGCACCATTTTTGAAACCTGCAAATACCGACGGTATACCGGGTTTGGACTTAGTAGTAGATAACAAAGATGATGAACCAGATGATACGGTAAATACTAAAAATGTTAATGTTCCTGATCTTGCCGCTATTTCTAAAGGACTAGATTCGATTTTGGGAGATGCGAAGTTTATGAACATATTAAATATGGTCTCTAAAAATCAAACCGTTCAACCTCCTCCCGTGGGAATGGCTTTATCCAAAATTTCTGACAGTCATTCACAAAGTCAGGAAAGACCAAACGATAATGCACGCACTGAAGGTCAGCAATACGAGGAAACTAGTATGAATAGTTTTACCGATGATTCTAATTTGAGAGGTAACGATAATGCGAGAGATGTTCCAGAAGTTTTCGGTCAGCATGAATATAATGCCGATCCAAATAGAAAATTGAATAATTACAATAATCCTCAGGGATTTGCAAACAGTTTCGGGCCAAATCTAAATCAAAATACTCCTGGTTCGAAAATTTTTAATTATGGTCAAGGTTGTACAAATGATGCGAATAATTTCAGAAGAGGAAATGAGGGAATAAATAACAGAAATGATGCTTTTGGTAGAGGAAGGGTTGTTGGAGATTTTGATAATCTGAGGCGATTTAGTTTTGATTCTGGCAATTTTAATAGGGGACCAGAGATGGAAAGTAGTAATTTAAATTTTAACAGAGCTTCGGGAAATTTTGACAGAAATCAGGGTGGATTTCAAAGAGGCAATTTCCAACGAGATGTCAACACTTTTGAAAAATCACCTGGTGGTTTTGACAAGAATTCAAGGAATTTCAATACAGGTCCCCCCACTTTTAATCGGGGATCTGGAAATTTTGTAGGAAATGTTCCAGGAAACCTTGAAAGAAATAATCGTAACTTTGGAAGAAATTCTGGCATATTGAATGAATCGTTTTCAACTGACCTTAATACACCACAAAGTAACTTTGAAAGAAACAGATTCAGGAGAGAATTTGAAGACGGTCCTGGAACACATAATACTGGAAATTTCGGTTTTGAAAGAGGACCTAGACCCTTCGAAAACATGGACAATACTGCTAATTTGAATAGAAACTTTGGACGAAATGCAGATGGTTTTGGAAGAAAAGGTGGCTTTTTAAAAAGCGATACTTTGGAAAAAGAATATGGTGGTTTTGATAAAGACAGAAACTTTGATGTAGATCGAAGAGTTGGTAAAAGTAATTTTGAAACCATTACAAGGGGAGGACCTGGTGTTTTTAGAGATGAAAGGGTTAATTTTGACAGACGATTTGATTCTGAAAATGATCAATACAGACATTTACAAAAAATATCCGGCAATTTCGGTCCATCAGAAGTAGGTCACGAATTAGGAAGGGGACCTACAGGATTAGGAAATGTTGGTGTCCCTCAGATGCCCGGTAATTACGAAAATCATGAAAATTTTAGAGGTGGTCCTGGTAATTTTATTAAAGATGATAACTTTCCGAGAAACCAGTTTGAATCTTCTGCACCATTGCACGATTCTTTTGGTAATCAACCCCATTTAACAATAGAACCCAATCTTCCTATCGACCCCTTACCTGCTAATGATTTGCCAGTAATAGAAGAGGAGGAAATATGGAAACCTGAAATGGTTATTGACTACGAGCATAAATCATCTAAGCTATGTAGGTAGGTAGTTGTATAATAAAACTTTGCCCTATTATTTTTGTTTTACAGCTGAGTTTGAAGTAATTGTGGAACCTGTTCATTCGTTTGATTATCGTCATAAACCATTAAATAGAATTCCATTACCTCAAAGACCAGAATGGTTGAAAGAGTCGCTTAAAAACTATTCTGAATTTGATTTTATCATTACAAGATCTTTCGAACCTCAACAGCTACGGAGGTATCCTACAAATGAATCGGTTAGATCTTATGATTCTTATAGAAAAGACGATTTTTCGTATGAGAGACAGAAGTACGAAGACAAGTTGTTTGACCGTCCCAGTGATCGGGGAGCTTTCGAAAGTAAAAGAGGCTATAATGATTCAAGATATGATAGAAAATCGGTGGAGGACAAAAGACCATTTGAAGACAAACGATTGTACGATAGAAAATTATACGAGGATATGTCTTCAGATGACAATTTTTTTTCTGACGAAAAAGTGTTTTATGATAGAAAACGAAGTAGCGAGGACAAATTAATTTTCAATGAAAGGTCCTTCGAGAAAAGGCGAATTCATGATGATAAAAGAAGTTATGACGAAGTGGACAGTAAATCGTTTGATCGAAAGTCAAATGATCGAGAAGATTTTAATCGTAGATCATTTGGAAGTGACAGTCACAGAAATGTGCATTCAGATCGTAAATTAGATTCAAGAAGGGATAATGTTTCAGAAAGTGTCAATCCCCAATATGCAAAGTGGTCACCCCCACCAGCTCATGAACAGATGCAGTTTGAAGATAATGCAAAACAAACACCTCAGAACAAAAATAATAATATTACGTTAATAGAAGACATACTGCATCCACCAGGGAGATATAACCGGCCCTCTAGAATAGTCATCATTCTTAGAGGACCTCCTGGAAGCGGAAAGACAACTTTAGCAAAGTTAATCAAAGATAAAGAGGTACTCCATTACTTTAAAGAACAACTTTATTCAGTTAATATTACGGTTTCAATAATAGGTTGAAAATGGTGGATCAGCTCCTAGAATTCTATCATTGGATGATTACTTTATGGTGGAACAAGAGAAAGAAGTAATCGAAGATGGTAGAAAAGTGAAAGTCAAAGATATGGTTTATGAGTATGAAGAATGCATGGAAGCCTCTTACAGGCAATCGTTGATGAAAGCCTTCAAAAAAACCGTAACTGATGGTTACTTTCCATTTATAATCGTCGATAATGTGAACGAAAAAGTGAAATATTTCGGAGAAATGTGGAGTTACGCAAAACAAAATGGTTTTCAGGTATACATAGTTAAACTTGAGATTGAGGCAAATAACTCATGGCTCAACTCTTTGTAGGTTTACATTTGTCAGTTAGAGTTGGATGTACAAACTTGTACCAAAAGAAATATTCATGGACGCACTGAGGCGGAAATCCAGAAATGTGTATCTGGATGGGAAACCACCCCAACACATCATCCCATTCTGGATGCAACGAGTTTAATTCAGTCTGGATCAATTCCAGAAGTTGAAATGGAAGAAATTAATTCGCCACCGAGTGTCAATAATGACGAATCGCAGGAGGTAAGATAATTGTTTCAGATATAGTGAGTCGGCCGAGCTGCTGTTTAGTTACCCTTTTTGGTATTTTAATTAAATAAAAGTAAATTTGGTGCCATTTTCATAATGCTATTTGAGGTTCAGTGCTCTGTAATAGGTTCATCATGGTGGCGTCACTTCAAATGGTAGTTGATTTTTTATTGTATTTTTTTGGTCTTAATAATATTTAAACAGAGAGAATTCCTGCAGGAGAATATGTGTAGAAGCAAATGGGACGCCTTCGACTTAAGTCAAGACAATCTTGGTAAGTTTTTAGTTACCAGTGATATTATTCTTTTCAATAAAATCAATTAAATTGCTGAGGTATTTACGTATATTCTCTGAGTAACTTAATATTACATTGAGGAACGCCTTGTTTCTCTCTACCATGAATTATTCCGTTAAATGGCTAAAGTGTTTATTATAGTGCCACTTGATGACACGTAACATTGTTTAGTTTTGTGTTATACGTATATATTTTTAGTTACACCCATCTACTATTGACACACTGATGTTTAAGGTTTCGATACTTTTTTTCTATTATTAGAAAACGTACACTATCCTTCTTGAGAAAGGTATATGTGTGTAAAACTATTAAAAAAACATCTATATTTTATTATATTTCCTTTATAAAGGTGTAAGCATTTCCTTTATTTGATACCTTATAATGTAAGAGAACTACAACGATGATAATAGGAATAAAGTTCAGATAAAAAGATACTTACCTCTACATAATTACTGTAACACACAATTTAATTTACCGACGCATGTTTCAATCGTTTTACTTTCGCGTGGAAAACGTCCGCACTGAAATGGGCGAAATTCATGTCTGCAAGTTAATTGTGACTCTTATTTTTTATTTATTTCTTAACAATCTCCTAATTTAAGTACATTAATTATTAAGTTTCTTATTCTTGCTTCAAGGCCACTGTGGTTAAAGACAAATTTTAGATATGTATGTAAAAGAAACGTTAAATAAAAGTGACTTCATGTCATGATAAACTTTTTCATACTTAGGGATATTAAAAATGGGCATATTCTACAGGCTTTAAGAAGAAAATTTTTAATTACCCTTAGTAAGGGCCTCTAAAATGCAATATAAGGGTCTATTTCAGCTAGATCTTCTGTTATTAAGTCTTCATGAATGGAGACAGTAAAACAGAGGAAGTTACTCATGTTTGCTCTTCTTTATGTTCTTTAATATTTAATGACATATACACGTGTACATTGTCCACTATGTCTGATCAGTATTCCGGAATATTTGAAGGGTAACATCTGAAGGTACTGTAGACTGTATCTCGTCATAGTACTACAACGTAGAGGATGTAAAAAGTGTGCATAAAAAGTATCCCTGTTAAACAGTCGTTAATGATTGAGAACAGTTACCGCGTTATCTCATCGACTTTCGACGAAACACACATACCTATTCGTGACCTTCGCAAACAGCTGATTCGTAGACAAGTCAGTGTACGTACTGATTAGTAATAATCTGCACTCAACGTTCGATTGGCAAAGTATTACCACAAAATAAACGCGAATGCGCATTATCGTTATCATTGCCGGAGCAGTTGGGGCTTTCGGTAAGTTGACAACCCTCATGTTTATGTATATCACTGAGTGGTGCGAGATGGTTTATTCTACTTCTTTTTAATGTATCTTCTTTTCCCTTAACTTTTCCAGAGTATTCATCAGACATAGTGTACGTATATATATGTGTAATAAACTATAATTTTTCTTGTGTGCTGGTTGTGATATTTATATAAATGCATTTATTCTGATAAACCTTATTAAAAAAAAATAACGTCGCCTGTGTAATTGTGTTGAAGCAAAATGTGACTTAAAATTCTCTCCTATGTACGACAACAATTTTAAATGCTTTTAAATGCTGAAAAAATTATGCTTTCTTTATTTGTAAAATGCTTGAACCTTTTTGTTTCAAAATGGATTTTTAAGACATTTATTCGGGACATGGATGTCATTTTCGTAATACTCTTCATGAAATCTGCATGTACTTCTCGAAAGCAAGTACTGGGATTGTCTTGTTCTATCGCGTAAAAAAACCAATTGTGGGATTTATAAAAGGTAGATCAAGTAAATTGATGATGTCATAAACTGTTAACTGTGACTGTACCTTTCCACTTATTACTGCTACAAGTTGCAGACAAATCCAAAAAGCGTCTATTATCATCCAATGAAAATATTTTTTTTTGTTAGTTCTTTACTGTGCTCCATTTTATTAATCATACATTCGTTAAAAATATTCAAATTGATGTGCAAAATTAAATTTAATTAATACATGGGGTAAGTAAATAGACCAAAAAAATTTTTTGGAGGGATTTGCTCTGTGTATTAGTTGGATTTAAAAATTGGTAAAAGTTTGGGTTTTTTAACGGATGTAGCTACTCTTAAAGGAGTAAATGGGACTTGCGTACTTACTTCGTTCGGCTGATGAAGACAAACTGTGAGATAGGATAGTTCACAGATGTATAGTAACCACGCTTTAACGTGGTCCAAAGTCAATGTAAGTAGGGCAGACGATGCGCACGGAGTATGCGCTAAAAGAAGGAACACGTTAGAACATACACCGGGTTGTGAGGATAATGCTATGTATGCGACTACTTGGGGGATGCGGTTTTTAATAGGCGACAATATGCGTTCGTCGCTTACAAGAGTTATAACACAAAGAATGTTATCGTCAAAACGTTTTCTTCATTTTCCACACCACGGAATTTATGTATCCATAATTATTGCTCAATCTGCTGGGGCGGATGAGAGGATTTAGGATCCTCAAAGTTCAACGGCGTTACAAATACCTTCTACAGGGTTGCCTTAGTTTATTGCTTTTGTGCCACGTTAAAGCGCAAGAGTAGTAACTTTACTACAGAGTGGAAGTGTTCTAAAAAACACAAAAAAACCTTAATTTGTTTTGTTGTGTTTATTATCAAAATAAAAAAGAAAGTCGTACACAGATAATATTTAAAGCTGTGTTTATTATTTTTTTCACAAAGATTTGTATTGCAGCTAAACTCGATGGAATCAGCAAGCCCCTCCGACCATCCAAAACAATGGAAGACTACCTTCAACTCGACGATGACTGGGTACAAACCACACCCTCCAAGCCAGGCCAGAAGAGGGTAAGTGCCGAACAGTAATGTAGTTTGCAAATTGTAGTTGTTAATAGACGGATATTAATCAGCTAGACGGTTTTGTTTACTCTTAAAGGTTCGGTGGGCTGACCTGGAGGAACGGAAGAAACAGGAGAAGATGAGGGCCATTGGCTTCGTGGTCGGACATACAAACTGGGACCGGATGATGGATCCTACAATGGGGAGCAGTGCTCTAACTCAAACAAAGTTTATTGAGCGTTTTAAGTACTAAATATTAGAAATATTTAAAACAAATAACGTTTTCATTAGTAGTTCACCCGTAAGAGCAAGATGTTTGCACTGCAATTGAAGAATATTTCTGTTAAGTAACGAAAGACTGTATATTTAAATTTTGTTAATTATTGTCAACTTTTTCATTATCTCTTTTTGCGGTGAATGATAAAATTAGGTACATTGATTTTATGTTTTTTAGTTTCGTACGTTAAACTAAATGTAACTGAAATAATATGTATTAAATATACTACAAGAATTTCATTTTTTTTTTTATTACAACAAAACAAACATCTCTATCTATTCTAGTTCTATTGTACATATGGTGAGGGTTGGACAACAAATAAATAAATATAAATAAATAATTTGAAAGTTCTAAAAAGAGACGTAAGTATTTAGTGCACTTATTTAAAATGTGGTAGCAAATTAAAAAGATAACTTTTCGTTAAATACATGTAATGATTACAAATACAAAACAGTTTGTTTATTTGGTATCGATCACAATACCGTTGATTTCATTATTGTTAACCTAGAATGTGTTTTATTTTGAAAACGTTTTTTTTTTGTAATAAAAGATCAAAACTACTTTAATTTTATGTAAACAAGTAATAATTGTTCATCCTTAAACGTGATATTTATTTGTCTTTGCCGCGATTACAATAAAAGTTGTAGATATTACCGAAAGAAGGCAGATACTGTTTGCGCAAGGCAAACTGCGCTTGCTGGTCTCGCATCGCGTCGGCGTAAAGAGACGGACATGTTTCAATGGCGTTTAGTGGGACTGATTACTATTAATTTCGATTTATTACATATTAAAAATGCTATGAACATCTCGGTATATCGTATATCGTAAAGTGTCCAAGTTCGCGAGTGCCGCGGGTTGGTTTGTGTCGTATCGTTGATAAAAAGAGAATGCAAAATGTGCAAATGACTTATTCAAGGACACACTTCGTGAATGTGTGAGATGTTGCAAATGGAGCCGGTCGACTTGATAGTGTAAGTAACTACGATAAACCATTATTCTAGCACTTCTATATATATATGTATATATATAAAAGGATAAAATCAACGTACAGCCTAAACCGCTGGGTCTAAAAACTTGAAATTTTGCGGAGATTTGCTTTTTATAGAACTTAAATGAAACTGAGAAAGAAATTTTAAAAATTTAACTCCTAAAGATGTAAAATGGAGGTTTGCGACATAATCGAATTCCATGCGGACGGAGTTGCGGGCAGCAGCGAGTCTTATACGTATTTTTTATTATAATATACATTAACTACGAATGATTAAAGAAAACGCATCTCCTTTTTTAGGCTCTGAAAGTCACTTATTTTAGTGCTTAAGCTAAAAAGAGTTTATAATCGGAACTGTTGTAGTTGGGTTATTTTAATAGATTATATATAGGTACCAATAATTAAACAATTAAATGTTTAGGTACTATAAAATAGTATGTATTAAAATAACTTTTCTAATATACAGAATGTAATTGAATTCTTTAAGTAAGTGATTATACATTTAATGCACTTAAAATATGGTCTATACATTTATTTTTAACGGTAACATTCGTAAAGACTTCACATTTTGAAAGATTTATCGAATACGTTAAATCAGTTTTATCAGTTGTGACTTTTTTTGTGTTTTTAAAAAGATTATCGTCTGTAACAAACATTTCTTCGTCTTTTCTTCTTTCCGCTTGTCTTTGCTCTTGTCGGGCCGCCACCATCATTACCATGTTCGTCGGCGTACTTGTCTGGTCCATGTGTTCTTTGATGCAGTTTTGCAGTATATTCAAGAAAAACATAAATGCAAGCAAAGTCATGGCTGAGACTGCAATGTTGTTTTTCTTTCCCGATTTATGGTGGCTGAGGGGATAGAAAGCATTATTTTAGTCATATAAACGTAAGTGCATGGTCGTAGTTAGGGTGGGAGGGGTACAAAACTCATTGCTCACACTATCACAGATGTATAGTAACCACGCTTTAACGTGGTCCAAAGTCAATGTAAGTAGGGCAGACGATGCGCACGGAGTATGCGCTAAAAGAAGGAACACGTTAGAACATACACCGGGTTGTGAGGATAATGCTATGTATGCGACTACTTGGGGGATGCGGTTTTTAATAGGCGACAATATGCGTTCGTCGCTTACAAGAGTTATAACACAAAGAATGTTATCGTCAAAACGTTTTCTTCATTTTCCACACCACGGAATTTATGTATCCATAATTATTGCTCAATCTGCTGGGGCGGATGAGAGGATTTAGGATCCTCAAAGTTCAACGGCGTTACAAATACCTTCTACAGGGTTGCCTTAGTTTATTGCTTTTGTGCCACGTTAAAGCGCAAGAGTAGTAACTTTACTACAGAGTGGAAGTGTTCTAAAAAACACAAAAAAACCTTAATTTGTTTTGTTGT